TTGTTTTTGCATTTATCCTGTTTTTCACTTTTAAACATATAAAGTGTTGCTTTGGAAAACCCTCGGCTATCTTTCTGTCCCCACTGCTGTGCCGCATCTCCTCCGCCTTATCCCTCTGGTGCTCCTATCATACATGTTAGCTCTTTGCACTTGATCACAAATGTTTCCAATATTCTTCTGGAATTTTTATCCTTCTAACTTTTGCCATTTTATCTAGATATTTTCTCTTGACATGATTTTCAATTCACTGATTCTCTCTGGTTCTGTCATTCATTAAATTTTTAATTTCATGTATTCTATATTTCCATTTGAGAAGTTTGATGTGAATGTTTAGTTTTCAGGTCTCTTCCAAAAGACTGATTTTATCTTTTAGCTCCTTGACCATACTAAACACAGTTATTTTAATGCCTGTGTCTTATATTACCACTACATGAGTTCCCAGTGAGTTTAATTTTATGATTTATTTTCTCTTATTTGAACCATTTGGTATTCTTTTTGAATTCCTGTTAATTTTTTTATGAGGCTCTATGTACTCATCTAAAAATTTAAAGATGTTTAAATCTTTGAAGTCTTAACAATGATATCATCCTACTGATAGGATTTACTCTTCCTCCCTTCCTTTCTTCCTTGATCTTTGACTTTCCACGTTCCAGAACTATGATCAATAAATTCTTTTTATAATGCCTAGCCTAAGATATTTTATTATATCTGCCTAAATTGACTAAGGCTATGATTCACACGGCCTTTCAGGGTCAGCAATATCACTAAGATCCATTTAGTTTGATATTTCTGGTACTTTTAAAAACTTGTAGTGATTATGAAGTTCTATTGATTATATTTCACAGATAATTCAATTATTTCTCTCCCACTTGCCAATGTTAAAAACATTTAATACTGGAAGCTTAGATATGTCAATGTGTAATGCATCAACAAAACCTTATTGGGTTTAAAAAAAAAAAACATGATCTTATGGTTCAGCATTTTGTGCTGGACTCAGCTAGAGTACTTATACTGGTGTTGCTGTGGGTCCTAAATGAGACCATAGTTACCTGGTCCATTGACTGAGGCTGGCTCCTTGTGTGGTATTTTGTGGTGGTTCTTGAATAGGCCATGCATCTACAAGAGGCAAGCCCCAGACTTTTCAAATCATGACAATATTTCAAGAATGCAAGCTTTAATGGGTAAACACTTTTCATAACTATATTTTCACACCACTTACTGATACATTAATTCCCTGACTTACAAACAAGTTCCATTCCAAGAGAACATTTGTAAGTCAGATTCTTTCATCAGTCTAAAAAAGTGAGTTTTATACACCTTTGACACAAGTACACAAAGTATATTGCTTTGCACTTCCTAGCAGAATCCTCCGCATCACCACTGCTTTTCTTGCTTTTCTTGCTTCCAGACATCCTGGACTCTGACTGAGCACTGTACTGCTGGACACTGTCACACTGTACAGTAAGCACACGGCCACACAACTGTGACAGTGTCCGGCAGAAATGCGAGCTACTTTCATAATTTGTTTACATCTACAAATGCTCGTAATATAAGGTCCATTCATATATGTGAAAGTTCACAATTTGAATGGTAATAAGTCAGGGACTTACTATATTCCATCAAATGGCATACCAAAGCCCAGGGTCCTTGGGCAAGGGAACTTCACAAGAGTATACATAAAAATGTGTCATCAGGAACAACTGTAGGAACAGTGTACTGAAACATACATTGTGCACATTTCCCCCTTTACAATGTGGACTGAAAACCCAGGACTACAAATGTATGGTTTTTATGAAGTTCAGGTATATAAAAACAAGAGGCATTTACTGTGGAGTCCTATGTGGTATGTCTGAATTCACAGGAAAGTAAGTAGTATCACCCAAGTCCTTCTCAGAGATTTTTCATTTTTTTCTCCTGAAATTTCCTTTGTTCTTGCTTCTTCCTCAGCTATGTGTTCACTTGGTAATCAGAACTGTTTAGCTGTATTATAATTTTACAGTATCATTGTTATATATGGTCTACTATTGACTAAAATGACATATATGTATTTAAATTTCTCAATATTTAATTATATTATTTTTGGATACCGAGTTTCAGTTAGAGTGGCCTTTTCTAGTCCAAAAATAATAAATCAAGTAGTTCGCATAGTTCTCAAATATTTATGCACTTGGCATGAACTTGGATTCACCATTAACTTTTTCTACCTATCTAGTCATTCACCATTACTATTACAGTTTATGGGTTCATCCTATGGATCTGTAGTGCCATCTGGAAACTCAATCTAGAAACTAGTGTGGTGTCTAATTTATGCTTTTTTTCTGGATTTCTCAAGATACTATCTGCAGTGAGCCATGTTATGCTGCAGTGACTACAACCCTAACTTCTGAATGACTTATACATTCAAGGTGTGCATCAAGCTCCTTTTGGGGCTCAGACTCATGAAATGCCCTTTCTGGAACATTGCTGGTCATTGTGGCTATTAGCAAAAGAAGGCAGTGAACCAGATGGTCACTCTATATCTTACAAGTGACCCAGTTTTCTTCCACTGCCAAAACAAGTTCCCTGGCTTTACCCAAGTTCTTCAGGGGATATACACTCTTTTCACAAAAAAAAAAAAAAA